GAAATGACTAAATATACCTTCTTTATCTACAACTTAGGGGGGAGCCAATGTGTCATCTTGGCCTTGCCAACTTCCACCAAAACAAAAAGTGCATGTATCCATCCATTCCTTCCTTGGGTAGGCAGCAAAGCCAAACCCTGGAAGACTCTTGCATCATGGCAACTTTTTTTTTTTTTCTTTTGCATCAAATTCGTGTGAGGTTAACTCATAGGGCCTTGGTTCTCAACTGGTGGGTCGTGACCCCAGAAGTGGGTCACCGCGTGCCTTCCACTTTTCTAGGTGAGAGGCTCCTCAGCCTCCCCCTAGCGCATCGCTATCAGTTCTCACAACAAGCAGCCATTCAAAATATGCTGCATGGTGCCAAGTATCAGCTTACAGCTCCCTTGCGTGCCCTGTAGAGGTGCCTGGACCGGAGAGATGTCACATTCTGGCTCCTGGCACCACTACAGGACACACAAGGGAGCAGTACAAGCAATGCACATATGGATGGAGCTCTGTCACAGCACAGCAGCCCACTCTGGACCCCAGGCTGAGGATCCACTCCAGTTCTTGTAAGATAGGGAGACTGGGTGGATCTTAAAAGAACAAAAATGAAAACATTTTTGGAATGTGTGTGTGTGTGAAATTGCGTCTGTCGTTTTTGAGGGACCGTTCACACTAGTACAGTGCGTTAATCGCGCAGTCCCGTGCGATTAACGCACTTTACCACACAATCGCACCTATCGTGTATTTTGGTGCGGGAGGCGTGTTGCATTGCCATTCATTTGAATGGCACCTCAAACGCACCTCCCACCCTCAGTTCGATCGTCCGCACCAGAATGCACGGTACCGCAATGCTGTGCCTTCCAGCGCGGTGCGACTTGGGTCACGACTTAATGACCAAGGACAAATGTGGGTCCTGAGGTTATACAGGTTGAGAACCACTGTCATAGGGCATAACTCAGATTGCCTTATTCTTGCATTGGGACGGTGTTGGTAAATGCAGCCCAATACTGCTGGTGAACACAAGGCCCAACACATGGCAAAAAGCAATGACTATACACAGCAGCAAAGACTGAAATCACTGCATGTGTAAAGGACATCCTAAAGGGTTTAGAACATGGCTCAAGGCAAGAGCAGGGGTAGGCAACCTCAGCACTCCAGCTGTGGTAGAACGACAAGTCCCATAAGCATTGCAAGACTCGCCACGGCCTTACTCCCAGAGGTGTTAATAGAATTTGTAGTTTCAACACAGCTGAAGTGCCAAGGTTGGCCTACCCGTCATACAGTACTGGATTTGGAGATGATATATTTGGGCATATGTGAATGAGCGATACTCATAGTATTATACTTCCAGATCAGGGGCTAAACTGTCAGCTATTCACACTGGGCATACGATTACATTTATTTAAAAAAAAAAAAAGGACCATAAGCAAGGGTTGCCATTAGCAAAAGCCATATATCAAAACAAACCGCAGCCCAGCTGAAGTTATATGCGGATCTCTTCTTGTTAAAGTCAAACAAGGCTCCGCCCTCTACCATGCCTGCTATTGATCCTACGAAGGTGTAGACAAGGACAAGCTAAACATTTACAGGAAAAGGTCAAGATCTACATCTAAAAACACAGCAGCATGTACCTGTGGCTTGACTGATCATTATGACTTGTAGCTTCCACTGAAAAAAAAACCTCTGCTTATGGACTCCGCTATTCAAGGAAGATGTACTTTGGGAGGTTCAGGTTACAGAGTTGGGTTTTGAATAGTTAGAGTTAGGTTCAGATTCATTTTAGGAGTATTCTCAAGCAAAGGGTTAGTTTAAGGTTAACAAAAACATGTACTGGATTGTCTGCTGACCGTCTCCTGAAAATGTTATTTGCCTGGCTTATGCTTTCTGGCTTCAGTACTTTCCAAACCACTGACCTGGAACAAGTATGCAAATAGAAGAAAAGTCAGAAGTCCTTATCTGCATACCTGTGACAGGTCAGTGACTCTTTTCTGAAGCAAGAGTTAGCATAAGGGCCGGTTCACGCCACAAACAGTGCGTCGTTCCAGAGCAGCCAGCCTCTGGAACGCACTTTATTGCAAACCAGTTGGATCTCTGCATTCAGGGGAGGGAGAAGGTATGGCGGTGCATTTAAGTCAATGGCACTGCAGCCACGCCCCCCCCGAACCCGTGGCACATTGATGCCTGCGTTCCGGTCTAGTGCGATCTGCAAAAATGCTGCAAGAACTATTTTTGTAGATCGCACTGGACTGGAATGCAAGCACCTATGTGCCACGTGTTCAGGTGCAGGCGATCACACATGCGGGTGGGGGGCGTGGCTGCAGTGCCATTGACTTCAATGCACCAGCATGTCCCCTCCCCCTCCCCTAAACGCAGGGAGCCGGCCGGGGTGCAATACAGTGTGTTCCAGAGGCTGACCACTCTGGAACGCACCGTTTGTGGTCCGAACCTATTCTAGCAATGTACACACTGCCCTCTTTTTTTTACCAGTTGCTTAGCGTCAATCCACTTCCTGCGAGTCCAGAGTGTCAAGGACACAGATCTGAGGGCTCGTTATTAAGCCATTCTGGACTGTCAGGAGACTGATGCAGTGAACCGCATGTCATTAGGTGGCACCATTCTCTGCATCACCGGGGACTACCATAGTAAGAAGAGAAATAGGACCGGGAGGACTAGACCAAAGACAGCAACAAAAAGTACATAGACTATATAAAAAATAAAATAAAAACAAATTTCAGAGAGGGGTACTCGTGGAAAGAGTGTGTGGGGCTCCAGGAGATTGGGCTATGGTTAAAGTGGTCACTACTAAACCTAACGCAGGCTTTAAAAGAAGAGCATCCATACTCATCCCCATGTCATTAAACGCCTCTACTTTGCTACTCCCGGCCACTGCAGGCATTTATCATTTTTGAGTGCGTATAATAATAATTAAAAAAAATAATAAAAAAAGCCACTAGCCCCACCACATATGTCTAAGTAGTAACAGCCATCAGAAGGAAATGGCATGTCAAGGGAGGAGCAGATAATCACACACCCAGAAGTGTGAATACCTAAAGCGGCTGGGAAGCAGCAGAGCATTTGCAGACGTGGGCCACCAGAAAGGAGAGTAGAGATGCCATTCTTTTACAGCAGGTGTAGGCAAACTCCGGCCCCCCAGCTGTGGTGAAACTGCCTCTGGAAACCAGGTCTGTGGCTGTCTTGCAATGCCTAATGGGATATGTAGTTACACCACAGCTGGAGGGCCAGAGCTTGCCTAATCCTACTTTACAGCCTCAGCTTGGTTGAGAAGTGACTCCATGCTGACAAAGTCACTCTAAGGGCTCATTCACGGGCAAAGAGGCTGCAACTAAACTTAGCAGCCCTTGGTGCTATGGCCCCATACAAATTGGTTGATTAGCTACATCCAGTTTGTGTGCGACTAGAACCACCAGCCTAGGACACACGCAGTCTGCGTCCAGGGCCGCTCAGAGGTCGTAACTACTGGTATGAATGGTTACATGTGACAGCAGCAGTGCAGTGCACAAATCTGGCCACGCAGCTACGGGCTGTTCACACACGTGTGTCTGGGGCTAGTTTCTCCATCGGAGAGAATTGCAGATTCTGCCTCTATACATCAGAATGACCCCTGAGGGTTACAGTTTTAGGGTCGTGCTTGGGAATGAATACAAAGGGTTCCAGTCAGTATAACACCAAGTTAGTCATCTATTTTTAGGCTGGATGCCTTACCAATTCAGATGTGATCAATTCATTTCTCACTAGTTGTGACTTTTCTCCGTGCCCATATACATGCACAAAAACTACCACACCAATTCTGTTACACTTTATACCAAGGAACCAAGCATTTCAGATCCAGACAGTGCTCACCAGAGTCCTTCATTAAAGTTTGAGAGAGGAATAAAATAGGTATTTTCTTTAAGATAAAATGGAGCAGCTCAGATGCCAATTGCTTCTCTCTCCTTCCATAGACTTTGTTACTCTTATAAACTGGAATTATAAATAGAAATATACATTCAAAATATATGGAAAAAGAGTGTGTCTACATTATATTTTGTATGTATTGATTCAACCCTCCCCCACAGCACGGTAATAGAAAATACTATTTTTTGCTCAAACTCAAACT